CTGATGGGGTTGGATTTAAAAGCTTCTCTTACACAGGCACTCGTTACTGTCTCCAGACATCCTACTACTAGCCACATGTGCAATATAAACTGTTTATAGTGCTCACCATCTTGACTGTAGTCTTTTGACCTCAATTTTTTTTTTTTGGAGACTTACTCCAAAACTGGAAATTAAATTTAATGTTTTTTATAACATTATTTGGCTTGTGTAGCCTTGGTGTGGATGCCGAAAGCGAACTCTGCTCTAGAAATCAGGTCTGATCAGAGATATTAAATGATTGTATTGCATGGAAGGATTACTGTAGTTTTCTTTGTTCATATGTATTTTGATTCCATAATTCATTAATACAGTGATGCGCTTGATAGCAACAGGACACAGGCTCATTATTGTATATGTTACATCTCAAAAGTGAGGCTTTCTCTCTCTGGAGATGCCAGGCTTGCTCTGTTTGAACTTGTCTTGGTGTCCCTAGAATTTATTTTTTTTACTCGATTTAGCCAATAATTTCTCTCCATAGTTTATGGCTAACTGTGGCCAGTTATTTCAGTTATTTTACTGTCCTTATGTTTGTATGGAACAACCATAACTTTACAGAGACTGTAGTAGAAAGTTGTAACAACAATCTTAAAAGAAGCAAACAAAAAACAGTGAAATGAGTCCAAGTGGATTCTAATCAGTTCTAATCATCTTGTTCATATAAATCAACTGCCTGATATTACTACCAGCAAAGTATGCTGGCAGCTGACATCTTGTAACCCACTAACACACATCTGAGTGAAGTGTTCAAATTCTGGAGGCTGGGAAGTGAGGGAAATCTGAGCATTACAATACAAAAAAAAAGTTGAAATTATAAAGTGTGTGTGTGTAGCAATCTCAATCAAATGATTTCTGAAGTTACGATAACGTAGTATTGCACTTTCACTTCATGGCAGCACCGGTGAAACACAAGCCAGATTTGTACATCAGACTTCTGGAAAAAAAGAACTTGATGGAAAGGGTCAATTCTAAAATAGCTTTAGTTTGAGCACTCTATGTATGGGATTAAAACTTTTTTTGCTATTAATTTCAATAATATTTGAATTGGTGGCGTTTTAAGGGAATGAAGTAAGCATTGGTCCTAACTTCATAGTTGCTGCGTTTGATGTGAATATAATACATGTAACTTTTTCTTATAGGATTTCATTGTCATTGTACTCTTATTTCCTTGCTCTTAATATATGCATTAGCTTGCCCTATGAGTGGGCATTCCCACTTTTTCACATTCCTATGTGAAGTTTCAGTTATTTACAGAATTGCTTTCAAGTACAACTGACATATCAGTTCCATTTTTTTTTTCTATAGAAACACTGTTAATCCTTATTTGTATAGTAAAAACTTTCTTACTTAATTAGTGCTAAATAATTTGTAATATTTCATGTTTTTTTTTATTTTTAGATTAATCATTCTTCAGAATGATGTCCAGGAGTTTTCACTGGAGAAAAGTCTAGTTTATTGGTGAAGCATATACACATTTACAACTGTGCATAAAAGAAATGATGAAAGACAGAACAAGTCAAATAATGTGAACGTGTTGCAGAAGTTCTTATTAGACGACTAGAATTTTTTTAAGTGAGCAGCAAGTGAAAAACAAAGACTGTCACCTTCAAGAACACAGATAATGTTTTATTTAAAACAGTAAACTTTAAAGTGCTATCTGCAATCTATTCTTAATGTGTTACCAATATTTAAGTGTTAAGGCTGCACAATAATTTAGAGATAGCAGTTTTGATTTAGTTTAACTCATTGTATGTAACAGTGAGTAGTGTAAGTGACTAGCTGGTGTTGAGGGTTGCCGAATAAAGCTGAACTGATAACAAATGGCAATAAGTGTATGGTGGGAAAGGCAAGCTGGCAAATTTGAAGGCTTAGATGCAACTGCGACAAACTGAGTGAGTAATGGTGTGTGCAGTAATGAAAATTAAGTGCTGCTGCTATGTGCCTCTTGCTGTTTGTGTCACTGAACGATGATGCATATACTAAGTATTTATTTGCCATGGTGGCCTCAACTGACACAAGAATCAAAGGAAGGTTTGTGATAGTTATATTACCAGCTCTTTACAATATTTGCATTAAGCTATCATGAGCATCACTAATTATGAAATCAGGAACGAGACAGATTTTAAAAAACTGATGGTTAGTGCTGTGATTCAGTGACAAAAGCTGTGATTAGGTTCCATATGTGTGAGTAGCTGTTTGAGTGCTGATATTAAAAACTTGCAAAGTAGCTTTTGTTAGTTGGTAAATTGTTATTTCCTAGAAAATATTTAAATGAATTGTAGAGATTCTAAAGGAGAGAAGAAGAGGAGTATGAAAAGGTTTAGTGTACTAGGGTGTTAAATAAGGGACAATGTGTCTGAGTTCCACCAATGGCTGCTATTGCTACCTGAGAATATGGGTTGACTGAATTTCTGATGATTTTCACTACGCGGATTTAGAGTTAAAATGGAGATTTGTATCTCTAAAGCTGCACCATCATTTCAGATGGATAGATGTGTAATTTGTTGCAACAGAAATGAACAACCAATAGAGAAGAAATTGCCGGCTTTCATTCAGTACTAATAAAACATATTAAAATAGAAAAGATAGTTAAAAACTGAAGAAATTGCTTATGCAATTTTAATAGGTACAGTATTTTCTACTGACCCATGTGGAGTTTTGTATCAAAATTTAACCTCAAGGTTTATATATGTTTAGGTCAACAAACCAACCAAAATGAATGAAATCTCTCTATAAGCATTAAGCTCCCGGTTAAATATTTCTGCTCATTAAACAGGCACACGTTCACCTCTGGAACACCCAGACTAGCTGCTCTGAATGCTGTATTTTAGAGCCAGTAATTAAGAATATCTTTGTCGCGTTGCTGAAGCTAAAGAGGAACACTAATAGGTAGTAAGCATCATGCTTTCAGCTGATGGAGATTATCCCCTTGTATCAATGCTACACGCTAACGCAGAATAATAGGTTTGGGTGAGGCTTAAGCAGAAGTTGTTCATTCTCTAAAATAAGAGAGTACGTATTTAGCTAGATCTTTTGAAAACAACATATTGAAACTTTGCAATTTTCATGTAACAGAAGAAATGAGGAATATGTATTTTAAAGCAGAAACCTAACACTAGAGTAAGAAAAGAAAAAGATGTTATAATTCACTAACAGAATCATAGAATCACGAAGGTTGGAAGAGATCTGCAAGATCATCTAGTCACTGTCCATCTATCACCAGTAGTTCTCACTAAGCCGTGTCCTTCAACACAAGATCTAAACCTTCCTTGAACACTTCTATAAACATAAAATAAATCGTGGACAGTAATTATTTTTTTATTCTGTAGCTAACAACAAGCAGGAAAACGCAATGTGCATTGGATTATTTCTTAGAGTTATATTAGTTTTTTATTCGTATGCAGAGGATATGTTGATGACAAAGAAAGCATAGTAACTAGGTAAATATTATGGTACAGAGCAAAGTCTAGTGAAGCAATTTCCATTTGCTGTCAGCTGCATGCCATTGCTCAGATCTATGTAGTTCATTTCTGAGAATGAAGTACTTGAAATTTTTGAACAACACTGCTAATGATACCAAGAATGGGACAAATTGTTAAAAAAGCAAACAAAGCACGGATATAAACCGATGTTAGGTAACTGTAGGAAGGTGATGACACTTGCTTAATTTTCCAGGGGTAAAATTTGAGAAATCTGAATTATGATGTTTTGAAAGTGAGAAATGTGACTCCTGCTTATTACAAACCGAAGCTGTATTCACAGTCTTGAAGCTCATGGTTGAGTGCTGAGATGATATGAACTGGCACTGTGTATCACATATCTAGCTTTGGCATGTGAAAGTTTTTGGATCTGTTTTGAAGTTGTACTTAGTAGTGTAACGTTTTGGGAGTTTTCTTTTAATAGTTCCATACTTGAGAAAAGTAATCTCTATATTATGATCTTTTCAGTAAATTTGGGTAAAGTTTTCTAGAAACTGGGAGGCCTGGAGGAATACTGGGAGATCATTATTTAATCGTAATCATCTAAAATATGAGGATTATAATCCTATGTAAAAGAAGTGTGTTTTTTGCTTTCCATGAACATCAAAAGACTATCTGCAGTTTTGTGAAATAAATAGCATCTTCTTGTGAATAGGCAATAGATAAAGTTGGGATCCATTTACACTGTAGCAAATTCAGAATTTAGGGAAATTTCTGTACAGAAAGAAACTTACTATGGCATGCTTCTGAATAACTCTTACCCTGTGTTTCAAGTCCATCCTACTACTCTTCTCATGGATGATTTCCTGTGAATAAGGCAAGTAAAAACTTTGCTGCTGCTAGCAGTTGTGTTATATCCAATTTCCTATAAAATAGCTTAATGAGAAGATTGAAGAAAAAAAAAAAAAAGAAGAGAAAGCAGTTATATTGTGTTATGGTACTACCAGAAATGTGACTGGAAGGTGGAAATACATAAAGAATGCAAAACACCACAATGTGGCTTATTTATGGTGTCATCTGCAACATGCGGTTGAACTTAATGATTTATGTCTTGTGCAAAAGCCAGGAACTGTGAATGAATTTAACATATTTAAAAGTAAAGATAGATTTAAACAAGAGAATAAGGAATAGACAGAAAGTATATAGAAGGAATATGAGTAATTTGTAGTAATCAAAACAAATCTTTCTACAGTTTATACAAGAAAATAATGTATTTATTATGATATTTCTGACAAAGCCAAAGTTTATGATGGCATCACTTGCAATAAGGCATTAGAAAATTCATACACATACAATCATGGAAAAATTTTAAAGCTATCACTTAAAAGATAACATTACTATTTCAAAAGATAAAAGTGGATTTTTTTTCAGTAACTACCAGCCAGTAGAGATAAAACTTAACACCTTGAAAATGATAAATATTCGTGAGAATAAAGGAGAGACAGTAACAGGAAACTGCTGAAAAGGATTCTTGATTTTCTCAAGGTCTTGGAACTCTTCTGCTGAAGCCAGTAGCAATATGACTTCTTGCACTGTAGTGCTGCTTGTGTTTGCCAAAGAAGGAGAATGCTATAACTTGGGATGCCATGGCATCTAGGACTTTCCTTGTTGTGTCCAAAGAGGGTTGACCAAGATCTGCTGTGAAGAAAGCTGGATGAATTCCTCAGGGTGCTGCTTTTTGGACACAACTTTTGGTTCTCCTTGTAGCTGCTTTACAGCCCTTCCTGTGCCTGATGGGCTTTTTGACATGATGGGCCCCAATGGGACTCATGGGACTCGGACTCCGCATATGGGACTCCCACATGCATATGTTAACTGGCTGTGTTCAATTGCTTTAGTAGCATGAAGCCCTTTACCTGCTTTGAATTTGCCTTTTATTTGCAATGATAATTCCATAAGCCAGGTCACAATTCTCTCTTGAGATCTACTTGCATTAAATTTGAGGATGAGAAATCTCAAAGAATTGTATGTGCTTTTCATCACGTAACCATGAGTGAAAAAGGCACCATAGTCACATTGAGATATTTACTAATGATAGACTCTGGGTAATGGATCATAACTTGCAGTATAGTAGTATTATTAGCTATTTTGTGTGTGGGAGTTTTAAACTTCACAGTAATTTGTACTGAGAATTTACACCTTTTATTAGAGTTCGTGGATTTTGACACTATTTAAAAGAAAATGCCCTCGGGTTATGCGTAACATGACCGAAGAAGGCTGAATTCATATTATACTCTTCTGGGACTCTGTATTGAGAGAGCTTTGCTGAATGTGAAGAAAAGCCATTTCACATAGTAAAGTGGCACCAAGCCCAGTTTCTTTATGGAAGCAAGATATACTCAGAAATTGATCATGTAACTTTTTTCTCTTTCTTTTTGCTATATATCACCTACTAAATAAAATTATTAAAGATAATTCCAGTCCCTTTATTAAATCAGATTTTATTTGAGGGAAAAGTGGTCTGTGCTCTTGGGAACAATTTGATATTCTAAAATGGCTTTCTCTGAAGTGTTTATTGAAATGGAGAAATTATTCTCTATTTTCTCCCTGTTTAGAATAGAAAACTATTCTAACACAGTGAATGACCCAAGAAAATGGAGAGTACAGAGCAAATAGTTTCTGATGAATGTGTGGAAGATACAGGTACAGAAGATGAAAAGTAAAATCATTTGAGGAAATGGGAACATGAGGTGCAAATGTATGAAGAGATAAAACGGTCACATTTTTACATTGGTGGAATAATGACGATAATTTGGAAAGTTGTTTAGGCCAGTGACATCAAACACTTGTACGTTAGCCTTCTGTGGATTAGCTTCCTGGAGGGAGAGCCTGGCTCTGACTCCTTCACATATTGGGAAGCGTGGGGTGAGATCTGAGGGAGTTCAAGAGAACTTATAAACAGGGTAGTATTATTAACATGAACTGTGATATTTTCAGTTGTCATTCTATTTACTAAAACTAAAGCTTAATTGTACACCAAGTATGAGATTTCGTGGCTATATAGATTGAAGTTGGAGTTCAGGGCCATGACTAGGTGAGCAAGGTCTGTTAGAGATATTCATGTAGAGGATGTGCCGAGTTCCAGTGGAGATCTAACTTGATAGTGTGCTGTGCTCCTCTACTCTTCTTTTTTTTTTTTTTTTTTTTTTTTCCTCTGCCCACTTTATTCATTTTATTTTTGTCCGCAATATTTCTGGCTTGGCAAATGATTTGCAGCCTATGAAGTACGTAAAGAAAGTAGCTCCTTGTTCATTCAGGATCGTAATAATCTCAGGGAGTTCAAATACTGAGGGTCTCTAATAAATACTATTTTGCACTCCTACTGAGAAACCTGAAATAAATTGTGATACTGGTAGGATAATCATTCCCCATCACCACATCTAAGTGGAAAATCATATAGCTTGGCATAGTTCTTTCCTTTTTAACTTTCAATAGAATTAGCAGTGATGTTAACATGATAGTGAATAATAACTAAAAGCACTGTTCTCAAAATATGTCTATTGGGCATTGTCGTCTTGACCTGTTTTTCACCAGCATTTATTACTGAAAATGTAAGGGCTACAATAACTGTTTTTTTCTGACACAAAGTGATATGAAGTCTTGTATATATACTGCAGATAGCATGATGCAACAATGATTTCAGATAATAAGGTGGTTTTTTCATGTTTAGATTGTAGGCTTGTAACTCGTTTAATGCTTTCATTGATTTAAGCATTATCTGGAGAATAAATTACATTAGAAATGATTTCAGGAGTAGGAATATAATGTTATTGAAGTAGAATGGGAAAGATTTTTCTTAGAAATGCAGTATGAATTTCTTTTTCTTTTTCTTTTTTTTTAAATCTTGTCTTAGAATAGTAGAGGAAAGCATGGAAGACTTTGTTGTACCTGGGAAATAATGAAGACAAAATAAAAACTACTGTGATTAAAAAATTTATGTAGGCATATATTAATGAAACTGGGACTGTATCCATTGCTTTTATGCATGTCTGCAGCATCTGAGATACATTAATAGTTCTGAAAATATGAATAATCAATATGAGTATTGATAACCAATCAAGAAAATGCAGATAACCTACAGCGTTCAGTTGCTTGCATATCAGGGCTCACTGGAAGTTAGCTGAAGCCAGCTGTATTCTCATGTCCTCTTTTTCAGTCAGTGTTGTCTTGTTCACTGTCACTGTGACAAATGAAAGCATTTCATGGCAGCAACTGTCAAAAGCCCTCTTGTGAGCCCTGTATTTTCTTTCTATTTTTCAGTCTGCAGCCACCATGAAATATGACAGCATATCAGTAAGCTACAACCCTCTGATCAAATGGGCTAGTTTTTAGTTAGTGGCTGGTGGCCATTTAAATGGTGAATGATGAGCTTTAGTTGGACATTTTTCACTGAAAGAGGAAATAAATCTCTCTTCATAGACTGCCTCATACTACAAACACAGAATATTTATCTGTAACATAAGAGCCTATTCAAACAATGCAATGCCAAACTCACTATAAATTGATGTGCTGTCTGATACATAAAAAAGATGCTTGGACTTTATCCTACTCACTATGAAGTTTCCTGCAACTTTGTCTTTTCTGACAGCCATATGAAATAGAAAAGGAAAGTATGCACAACAGTTACTGTAGCTCCCTTACATCTTAGTATTTTTCCTCTTCCACTCACTCCTCCTCCTATTCCTACCTTGGTATGCAGAACCTTCATTTAATTGAAAAAAAGGCTGATGCATTTTCAGTTATAAGTAGGCAGTGCTACTGAGTGGCAAGTACAAGTCTGTACTAGGAGATTAAATTATTCAGGGAATGAAAGGTATGTGTCCTGCATTAGTGCTAGTGCTATTACGAAAAAAAAAGTCACAAAATGAAGTTTCCTGAAGGAATCTCATTACAGCAAAGTAGTCATAGCCATTTTGTGACAAATTCAAAATCTGTGAATTTCAAACTCTAACCTGTAAGAAAAATGGGCTCAATCAATTTTACTTTTGCCTTTGGTCAAGCCGTAATATAGATGGGTATAATTTCCACAAACCTGCATCATTCAGAGTATACATATTAAAGTTATTTCTAACGTAATGTTAAATGTGTGTCAGCACAGACCCTAAACTGACCAAAAAAGCCAGAATGGCAGCAGATGTGACTGTATCACATGGAGCTCTGCCATGCATCATCATTCTCTGTGATAGAGATGGTTATACCAGATTTGACTAAGTCATCAGAATCATAGCTGGTTATCAAGAGTCCCAGTGTCTTCACTGACACTCGGAATAGATCATAGAAAATCTTGCATATTTATGCAAATTAATGAAAATGGTGCTTAGTCATGTTGCCAGGTTGAGCCTAGTTAAGAGTGAAAGAAGTCCCTGGTGTATAAGTCATGATAATACTGTAGGATATAAAAACTTTCAGTGTTCTTTCAAGCTGGCAAAGGGATTTATGGAATAAAAAATGTAATGCTGACCTTGGTATTGCAGTAAAGGCACAAAAAACTTGAAATGTGGGCCCTGGAGTTATGTGAACTGCTTCTAAAGACTTTTTTATTACGTGTCAAAGAGGTAAACTCACTCATGTAGCTCAACTTTTCGTATATTGGGAGATGTAATTCTCAATGCAGCTTTGGCAGTTGCTGAAGGAGAGAGATATTTCCATTTGGTTTTTTTTTTTTAAAAAAAAAAAAAGAGTATGAAGCTTGGTAGCTTTGGCTACATTGTATGTACAAGTATGGAGAAGAGGGAGGATACAAACTGATCTTCACAACTGAGTGTCAAAATTATAAGTTCAGTAACACTTTGACATTCCTTCAAGGTTTTCTATGTCTTAACTAGAGTATGTTTTGGATCATGTATTCAACTACTTATATGCAATTTATAGAACGCACCAAATATTTATTCTGTACTGATGCCTCGACTGTCCTGGCAGAGTTTTTGTAAAGAGCTCTCATTTTTCAGAAGTTCTGGGAGGAAGGAATGTCTTGCATCTGTCTTGTAAGAAGCTCATCTGGCCGAACCACAGACATTTTGTTTATTAAGCCTGGGCTAAGCTACCTGTTTTGATCTTGCTTGTAACTAGATTGTTGATACATGACTAAGCTACGAGTAGCTAACTAAAATGGAATGAACATCTTTCTCAGATAAGCTAGTGTAAGACGCATGCTTGGAGTTACACTACCACATCATCATTAAATTTAACTTCTTTTTTTAAACCTGTCTTGCTAGCATGCTACACAAAGTAGTGGTTTTGACCTTTTGAGTAGTGTTTAGCCTTAGGCCTTAGTAGCACTGAAAAGCTTATAGATTATATGACTGAATAAGAAATGGTCACTCAGTTGCATGCTCTGGCTCTTTGCAGCGCTCAGTGTTGCCAATAAATTGACACTGAAATATTTCATTGAAATTGAAATATTCGTTCCTACCAGTTTTTATGTACGATATGAAGGGTTATATAACTTGGCATGAAATGCAATAAATGGATTTTGATCCATGAGGTAGATATACACGAGAAGCTTCTTCATTATTCCCACATGTGACGTGAGAAGATGTGTGTGTTATGAAGTCTTTCTAAGTCTTCAGCATATGCTAAACGCAGAAAGGTTCAATGTTTATGAGGAATAATTTATTTTCATTGGTTTGCAAAACAGGATGATAATCTGCCTTCTCAAAATTCTTGAATATTTATATTTGTTTCATTAATTCCTTGTAAAATTCCCAGACTTTAATTTGAAGTATGGCAATACTGGTGTCCAGCAGCAAATAACTTTTAAAAGCTTTTGCTAGACATTAAAATTTTTGTTGTTACTTAATGAATCACATTTTGAGCAGAAGTATTATTTACAAGCATATGAAATTATATTTCTTGTAGTAGCTACATTTAGATTCTGTCACGTGGTGGTGGATGAATGGAAAACAACAAATATAGTAACTATATATAACTACTATATATAACAACAAACATTGGCTTTATATAACTAATCATTATATCAGACTCATCCGTAATTTGCTGAAATATAACTCATTGTCTGGATGAAAAAAAAAGATCAGAATCAGTGAAATTTCAATGATTCATTTCATTTGAAAAAAAAAAATAGTAGTTCAAACTGGATGAAATTAAAACTATTATGTAACTTGTTTGGTGCCAGTGTAAAGACATGGTATCTGCTGAAGACAGAGTGTGGCAGATCTGCTCATGGTTTAGAATCATAGAATCATTACAATTAGAAGGGACTTCCAAGGTCATCCAGTCAGAAATCCTTAAGAACTGCAGGTCGACCATACTAGAGAATAAAAGATAAGTAGAAATAGATTAATCAGACTTTTTACCTAAAAATTTAGAGAACTCATGTATAAATAAAATAACTGAATTTTAGACATGATTAATTAAATGTTTTTAAGGAGTAGGTTACTAGAAATTAGATTGAA